CCAGCAGCAGGGGCTTGGGGCTGCTGGCGGCGGGGAGGGCATGCGCCGGGGCTCGGGGGCGCACCCTCCCGCCGCGCTCAGCCGCGCCCAGCGTCAGCAGGCGCTCTGAGCGGCCACTCCCGGGCCGCGGCCGCGCCGCCCTCCGCCTCAGTGCCAGCCGGCAGCCCGAGCCCGCCGCTCTCCCACGGGCGCAGCCCCTCTGCCCGCGTCCCTCATGGCCAAGCCCCTGCTGCTGGTCGTCTGCGGCGCTCTGGTGGTGGCCCGGGCCCAGTGGGGGGCCACCGTGACCCCCGCCGGCACGAGCGAGCCGCCGGACGCGCCGACGGTGGCGCCCACGGAGGACGAGACCCTGCAGAACGAGGCGGACAACCAGGAGAACGTTTTGTCGCAGGTAGGCGGCGGGCCCTGGCCACCCCCGGGCCGGGGCGCTGGGTGGAGGGGGGACCGGAGGTGGCCGTCGTCGCTGGCGTGCGGCCGGCCGCTGCGCCCCGTTCCCGGAGGGAGGGGCGTGCGCGGTGCCCTCCTCGCTGCGTTTCTCCGGGGACGGGACGGGTACTTCAAGGTTACCGAATCGGGAGAAAGGATAGAAGGAAGGGAAGACTCCGCGCAGCTCCCTGGAAAGAGGGACGTAAACGGACAGTAATAATCCAGACCTAGTTTCTAGCTCAAGGGTTGCGAAAGTGTGGTCGTGTCTTGCCTGTGTGGCTGTTCGTGGGAATTGGAATGTGACAACAGGCGGGCACGTTGGACTGGGGCGGGCGGACGGCTGCCCCAGGGGGAGACACTTGACGGGGCCGGAGTGAGACACCCACCAGGGAGAAGCGGGGTTGAGACCCAGCAGCAGCTGCAGGTGTGACGCGTGGCAGGTGGCCCCGCGCAGAGGGGCTGCGGACGAGACCCCGTGTGTTGGTGAAGGCAGGGTGGAAATGCAGACCCACTCACCTGTGGTGCGTGGTCAGTGGGGGGGTGAGTGACAGCTGATAGGGACCGGCTTCGTCAAGTGCCCCTTTACAAAGTACTTGGCTCGCTTTATCTGACTCGATGGTCGCACACGCCCTGGTTCCCCGGCTGTAGCTCCAGGTGGGTAGAGCCAGGTCTTCTGACAATCTGCAGCCCAGGTGACTGGAAGGGACAGTTCTCTGGAGTGTTCCGTTCAGCATGATGACGTGTGGTGGGAGTTGCCGTCATCCTCAAGATGAGGGATGGCTGCATCTGGAGAAGCCTTTGCTCTGGGTCCTGTCTCCTTCCCGGGGGAAGAACAATCAGTTCCCTTTCCTCGGGAAGTTAGGCTGCTATCTATCCCTAGAGCCACCCATAACCTCTCATTGTCCCCTAAACCGAAAGGACATGAAAACCCTTCATGTTGGGGCTCTGGAGGACCATCCACAAGTGTTCTTGAAACCGGAGTCTGAAAGGAAGGAATCCACCCGGGGCCTCGGCGCGGGCTCCGGCAGGAATCTAGGCAGAGTCTCAGGGAGCAGACAGCCACGATTTACTGTCAGCCCCTGAGGACCGGCCGCTTCAGTCACCCTGCACTGCTACCCCTTAGCCCGCTGCGCCTTTCTGTATTTGACAACAGCTCTAAAGCAAATATTAGTGTTAGAAGAAACCCAGCCTTTGCAAGAAAAACATTAC